TGTATCAAAACTAACAGATAAGGAGCAGATTAATTCTCCAAAGATAAACTATCATTAATACAACATATTTTCCGGATAATATGTTACACTCTGACCTCTGAATAACATTTCTAGTGCGAGAATAGGTTGCATTGATTGTCTTCTGGTTCTATTAGTGTTTTTACTGAGTGGTTTATTTGGAAATGTTTCACTGGCATTCTGTTCAACAACACAAACAGTTACTTTACTGAAACATTGTCCAGAATGATAATGAGAGCTTAATTGTACAAACTAGCTTATAAAATGCAACACAACCAGAGGCATTTATCTGAGCTACAGATCTTCTTCACATAAATAGGTGGTTAAAGTTTTAAATCTTTAATCGAACGGTCGTATATCTAGTGTTTCAGCTAGCGGTCTGTAGAATAGAATTATAATTTCTGTTACACAGTTGAAAATCAAATCTCCTGGATGGTAATAATATTATGAACATACCATACTTTATACACTATGAAATGTCAAGATATAATTTAAATGGAAAAAAAACTTTTCCATTAAGTACATGACTACTTTTTATTTCATTCAACAGATTTACAATTCTTTTCATGCCTGATATGTTTTTTAAAATATGAGGCCAAAAAATATCGAGTTCTTTTTAATATACTCAGTGTTGTTACTATCCGAAGGTTTAAATTAATGCATTGAATTACTAGTGTTGTCGTTAACTGAAAAAATGTTCGCTAGGATCCTCTAAACAGGAAGTATCTACGGTACTTTACTTATAAGTATTTAGATTGCTATTCTTCTGAGTGAGATAGCTACTACTTTTTTTAAAAAAAACATTTATTCTCTCTTTTGCTTGTCATTCTTTTGTACGTCTTTCTTTATCTTCAATGAATCGTTTCATCACTTCTGAATTTATAATCTATCCTTATTAGTACTGTTATTAAAATTTGCTTACATGTTAAAAGAAATCTGTTGTAAAGCATGGATTCGAAAAAATAGATAACTTTATGCATGAGGGTTATAAATTGAAGTTTAAAAATAAATTTGTTTTCTTATTTACAATGTTTGGATATAACGTTTCATCCACAATCATCAAAAATGCTTTGATCAAAGTCTAAGCAGATAATCCTGTTCTAGAAAAGGTTTGGTAAGTTTTAATGATTATCTGCTTCCTCGAACCCAACGTATCTTTCTCATTGTTTGAAAAAAATGTGTAAAATATAGAATAATTATTCTACATATTATTGTTATTCTTTCTGGAAACATTTATTAAACTTTAAATTTAGGATACTAAATTGTTTAGCTATCAACCACAATAACTTTCTTAAATTTGAATGATTTCAGTTCTAAGTATTCCAGTACCAAATGGATTATTATTCCCTGAATTATTTGTAATTTGTTTCTATAGCATTCTTTTGAATTTTGATGCTTTTTCTATTCGTGAGAATCTTACGGAATCTACCACATGTTTTCATGAAAGTATACGATCAACTGAGCGTCATATTTCTGTATTGTGTTATTAGTAAAATGTCAGTATGATTTGTAAAACCCTATGACTTGTTAGTTGGAACAGTTTTGAGAAGGTTACCTAAATGTTTCTGCATTTCAACGCATATTCATATTATAAAATATTAATACTGATATAGTCTAGACTTCATATTCAAGAAAATGGGCAAATTAATTACAAATCATTGGGTTTGTATTCCGAAATAATTTTCTAGTAAATAAAACTTATTGTCCAAAAGGTAGATTAACATAGATTATACCTTTAATAATATAAAGGTTCACCACTATACTTATCTCTTATATACATTAAACAATTAAAAATCAGTAGACCTAAATTCCGTGCTACCACTTATCAATAACATAAGTTCGATCATTGATTATAGTGATTTCCATTAGATTAGATAATATCTTGAACAAAATTCACAAATATGTTCACATTGTATTGTAGCATCTTGTAATAAATGTATTCTAATAATTTCATACAACCAAATCCTTTAATAAATTTGAACAGTGTTAAAACAACAGTACGTTTAAATAGGTGTAGTCTTCAATTACTTGATGAATAATGAGCATAAATTTAATATCAGTCATCCACTCAAATTATTTGACAAACAACTAACATTGATTTTACTTTGTTTTGTTGAAATAATCGGCATCAAATAATTTCGACCTTAAATTATATGTATAGAAAGATAGCTTGATTAATCTTTATTTGCCATGATCACTATAATGATAAATAAGTAAACTCTTTTAGATATTTTTGTCTTTTAACCCCTATTTTTTATCTCTTGCATAATATTAATGATGTGTATATATTAATTTGATTTTGATCCTAATTATAATGAGTAACTTGACAATCGTCTCTTATTTTCCTTTTTATTATAATTATTATTCAGTCCATTTTGTGAAAAAATTAATTAATTGTAACTAGGGCATCAACCTCTTTCTTCTGGATTATTATTATCATCATTTTCAAGTTATTAGTACATATCAATCTCAACAATGTTTACTCATATTTTTTATGTCCTACTTTTTTTCTTTCATTTTTTAATGTTCTTCAAAACTCTACGAAATAAAGTATGTTAGAGTTTTGTTTAAAACCATATTAGTTTATGTAATTTTTGTGGTGACCTAGAAGGAATATATTTCACTCTGAAAACCTTGTTGTTTTTGCACTACTCTAATAATAACTAGCTTTATTTAAACATACATTTAACTGTGCAATCAGCACATCATTTATAGTAAATCATGATTTCAACTATTGAAATTGCTTAAAATCTCCACAAAACCCTTTCTGATAATAACCATCTGCTCAATAGTGTCTGACTTCAAGAGACACCCCTGGAGTTCTAGTGAGAAGCAGTGACCAATGGAGTTCAACCACATCTGTTGTGAGATATCAGCTCACTGAAGACAATGCTGACGGTGGAGCGATTTCGTGAATCGCATTAAGTTAGAAATTAACACCGTTGGATGCTAGCTCAGTGGTCTCGAGGTTAAGCGCTAGCACGCGAGACTGATAGATCCTGGATTCTAGTTTTACGAGGTGGGATCATAGATTAGCACTGATGGGGAGTCCCTCACTGGAGCGAAACATCCTTCCAGTGCTTCCGGGTTTTCCATGGTGTTCTAGCTTCAACTGACTCATGGTTTCAACTGTTGAAATTACTAAAAATCTCCACAAAACCCCTTTTGATACCCATAATTACCAATAAAACAACACATCCCTCCATAGTTTCTACTATTTTGTTCACAGTCCAGTCATTTTTAGTACAAGTAAAATTTTTTAAAATATATTGGATTATTTTATATTCTGTGTAAACTGGGCATATTCTACTTGTAAAATTACAAAGTGATATTTTTGCAAAATGATTTTTGATGGTATTTTTTGTTGTTGAAAAATAAACGTATTACTGTTGCCTTAACGACTACAACTTCATAGGAGTTTTCTGTTTCCAGCTTATTTATGTATGTTTTTATTTAAACCAAAATTTTAAAAACGTTGGTTAACAAAATTTTCATTAAGTTACAAAATAGTCATATCATATCACTTACATCAAGTGATAAAACAGAAAGCCACTAATTTGTTAAACTAAATTTGACTATAATTTTTTGAGAGTATGACATTTTGATGATGTGATTGTATTAGTTGACAGATAATTTTTTTGAAAGAGAATCATGAAAATGAATGATGGGCTAATAAAAAAATAGATATTTATTTGTGTAAATAGTTTTTGTGTCAATAATGACATCAATTAGATTATCAATGAAAACAAACGAAAAGTAATTTTTTGTTCTAACTTTTTTTCAATTCCCTAATATTGAGTACCTAAAAAGATGTTAAGAACTAAAGTAGTTATTAAAATTGAATAATTAAAAAGAAACACATTCATTGTTCGGTTTGAATGTCTCGAGTTTTTGATCTCAGGCAGTGCAGTAAACGTGTAGTGTTGATTAGTCATAACCAAAGACAAATACAACGATTCGGTGATTTCCAGTTTTCAATGTTCATCTAGTTTCCTGAAAAAAGAATGATGTGTACTTTATTCCATCACAAATTGTGTTTGGCAAGTACATGTGCATTTTTTGATATTGTTACGATACAAAACCTCAGTATGATAAAAATATATTGGACGGAGTTGTCTACAAGAAAGCTAAAAGTATTATTTTACTGTTGTAGGACTTCACAATGTTTCTGGTAAATAAATATTTTATTGGATGATAAACGAGATAAGTTCCGAATATGCACAGCAGCGGAACTACTTAATTAATGTATGAGTAGAAGAGAGAAATGTTAATTAATTTTAAAAAAGCCACTTAACCATAAGATAATTTAACAGTTGAATTAATAAATCAATTGAAGTTAGACCACCATGGAAAACCTGAAAGTACTGGAAGGATGTTTCGCTCCAGTGAGGGATTACTCAACAGTGCTCATCCATGATCCCGCCTCGTAAGACTAGAATCCAGGATCTATCAGTTTCGCACGCTAGCGCTTAACCTCGAGACCACTGAGCTAGCATCCAACGGTGTTAATTTCTAACTTAATGCGATTCACGAAATCGCTCCACCGTCAGCATTGTTTTCAGTGAGCTGATATCTCACAACAGATGTGGTTGAACTCCACTGGTCACTGCTTCTCACTAGAATTCCAGGATATACCTATTGGACATCGGTAGTAATAACCATATTATGATTATATTCAGAAAGGGGTTTTGTGGGTTCGTGAATGCGCACTGCTGACGAAACGGCCGTCCACTGCTTCTAGGTTTTTCATGGTGGTCTAGCTTTAGTTGACTCATGAATTCAACTGTTAACCTACTATAATATCTGCATAACTCCTCTGTGATTATAAGCTAATTTATTTAGTGAAGGAATTCGTATCATGAGTTCGTATAAACTCTTTAAACTTACTATAAAACTTACTTCTTTTTCAAGTACTTCGTAAGTTGATGTATAACTTTTTTTAATTTCTAAATTTAAAATTACCTCATTTTTCCTCATTACAGAGATGAAACACAATTTATACTTAATTGGACAAAAGATTCACATTCACTAACGGATTTTAATAAACAAGTTGTCAAATATCGTAAGTAAATAGATTCATTTCATATTTTATGATCAGCGTTTTTTTAAAAATATTTTTATTCATCACTGGAAATCTTTAGGAAATTATAGTTCCATCAATGAATTAACCAATTCTTACTTAAACGTCAATAAATCTTTAATTGCTCTATATAGTTAACATCACTTACTAATGTACTTACTCCTGTTACTCCCAATGGAGCATAGGACGCCGACCAGCATTCTCCAACCGACTCTGTCCTGGGCCTTCCTTTTTAGTTCTATCCAGTTGTTGTCCATTTTTCTCATATCTGTCTTCATTTCTCGTCGTAATGTGTTCTTTGTTCTTCCTCTCCTCCTCCTTCGGCCTTGAGGGTTCCATGTGAGGGCTTGTCTCATGACGCAGTTGAGTGCTTTCCTCAATGTGTGCCCTATCCATTTCCAGCGCTTCTCCCTAATTTCTTCCTCCACTGGAATCTGGTTCGTTCTCTCCCACAGTACGTTGTTGCTAATAGTGTCCGGCCAACGGATCTGAAGTATTTTGCGTAGACAACTGTTAATAAACACCTGTATTTTCTGGATGATTGCTTTCGTAGTTCTCCAAGTTTCTGCCCCATGCAGTAGAACTGTCTTGACATTTGTATTGAGAACTCTGACTTCTATGTTGGTTGACAGTTGTTTTGAGTTCCAGATGTTCTTCAGTTGTAAGTATGCTGCTCTGGCTTTGCCGATCCGCGCCTTCACATCTGCATCAGATCCACCCTGTTCATCAATCATGCTGCCCAGATATGTAAAGGCTTTTACATCTTCCAAATCTTCTCCGTCAATTTTGATTAGATTGGTGCATGCTGTGTTGTATCGGAGAACCTTGCCTTTCCCTTTGTGTATATTGAGACCTACCGCTGCTGAGGCTGCTGCCACACTGTTCGTCTTCTCCAGCATCTGTTGTTGCGTTTGGGATAGAAGGGCCAGATCGTCTGCGAAGTCTAGATCGTCCAACTGCATCCTAGAAGTCCACTGTATCCCATGCTTCCTCCCAGATGTTGACGTCTTCATGATCCAGTTGATCACCAGAAGAAAGAGAAAGGGTGAGTGCAAGCAACCTTGCCTAACACCGGTCTTTACTTGGAACGAGTCTGTCAATTGTCCTCTATGCAAAATAGTTAGCATGATAATGTTAAATTATAAGACTTTAATTTATTATTCTTCCAAAATAAAAAATGTACTAAAAACATTAGGGTTGAACATTGATTTTTTTTCAAACTTTATTTGAGATAACTTATCCAACTTATTAAATTCAGATAAGTTTAATTATTTTGGGTTAATGAGCCCTTGTTAAAAGAATGACAAATCATTCAACATTCTCAAGTAAATTCAATTAAAGTTATTTTCAAACTAACGTTTTCTTATCATTGATATCTAGATATATTAGTGATTAAAATGTTTACAATTCTATTATGGTAATAAGGAGCAAACGTTTATTCTCTTCATGAGAGTCGTTTGTTAATATTTCTCGTGGAAATCTTCAATATCGAACCGATATATATATATATATTCACTTTTGTGAAAACGTTAATTTTATTGAATGGGTTTGATAAATCTATGTTGAATACTTTGTGAATATTTGGGACCAGATGGATTTTAAATACGTAAATACTTGACTAAGATTGAGATTAGCACAAAAAGTTGGTATAGATCATTCTGTCCATATGTTTTTTCGACACCGTCTGACTTTAGCTAGACATCCATTGATAATGAAGGAGTAGGTTATTTTATTATAGTATGCAATATAATATACTGTGCATAATTATTTTACAGTGAGAAAATTCAGCTTTATAATCTATGGTCAATAAGTGCATAAATACCAATATATATATATATATATATATATATATATATATATATATGTGAATACAATATTCTAATTTTGTTGTATTCATTTTCTTTATAAAATTTATAAAAATGAACTATAAGTTTATTCGTTTATTCTCCTTGTGTTTTCTTGTCCCGACATCATTTCTAGGCATTATCCTATCACTTTGAAGTATATACACTTTTTTTAACGATTCTGTTTTAAATAAAGATTATCTAATATATATGTATTAAAGATTGTATTCTTTTCTGTCTTCCGTAATTTTTTGGTTATAACCATCTTATGTTAATTCAGATTATTTATATTCCTCTTTATATATATATATTTATCTGACAAATAATGCTTAAACTTATTAGAGATTTTGTCAATATAAAATAGAAGTATATTCCTTTTTTTATTATTGTAGTTGTTGCATTGTATATCGCTTACATAACTTCACATAGTGTCGCTTACTTTGTCTCCTCTAGTTCTCATTTATATTAATAAACCAAGTTTTACAATTTTTCTCCCAGTGCTAAGAGTTTCCTATCATATTTTTGTTTGTGTGTTAGTGTCTATTTTTATTGTAAATGTATTTGTATATTTAATGTAGTTAGTTTGTGACAAGATATTTGATTTAATCTTGTCAGTTTGTCATTAATTTATTTTGGTATTTCATAACAGGGGAGATACTGTATAATAGAGAGGAAGAGAGCAGAAATTAGTTGAAAACGAAATTCACTGAGGAAGTATTTATCAGTCATCAAATTATCGATCTCATGACCGGTGTATATAAATTATATGGCTCGCTAGAACTAAAGATCTTAATGTTATTAAAGTAGTCTCTTTACTTGAGATTACATATAGAGTTCTATTAATTTCGAAAATAGTGTAAAATCCCAAATTTTATATAAACATGTTCATTAAATATGGTTTTCCGGGGTTGTTGCAATAAGAATTATTCTGGAAGCTACTTTCAGATATCTGAAAAGTTTATGTGGATAGAATATTCCATTCAGCTCTCCATTACTCACCAGTCGTTAGAACGTGAGATTTAAAACCGATATCAAATCTCTTCACTAGGATGATGATTCAAAATTAGTAGAAGAAACATGTATATCTTCCGATCAAACCCTAGGTATAGTTCATCTCAGTTAACTCCTCATTACTTTATGGTCGAGTGTGCTGTTACACATGTTTAGTCATAATTTATCACATTGTTCTCTCCTGGTTAGTATACAATTAGTTTGAAACATATCAAAAATCATCATACCAATATAGGGCATTGGGTAATGATGACACTGATGGAAAATATTTGTTATTCACCAGTCAGTGGTCAATATGAGTCAGTTATAAAAATACGTTTTTATCATTGAAATATTCACAGAAGCTATATTCCAAATTTTCTTTTCCATTTCCTTAATCTTTTCTTACTAAAATCCTTATTTCTACTTCTTATTTTCATTAATTTTATTATTTAAAAGCCTCTGTATATCTGGTCAGTGATAAGCTGGATCGATATATACCAGTCTGTTTTAAAATTGGTGAACTTGATAATCTCGAAATTATAAGCACTCTTCCTTTCGCCTATTCACCTTATTCTTATTTCAATAAGAGTTTTAGTAAATATACTATTTCAAGAACTTTATAATCTCCTCTAATGAAATCATTATAATGACAATGCTCAATAAGGAATACCTGACCGTTTAGATTATTTTCACAAATGTATCAATAATATAAAAAAATATTATTCATTTGAAATGAAATAAAAGTCAACTGAAAATAGAATAAAATTCTTGACATGAGAATGACAAACAGTCAGATGAATATCAAAAAAATAAAACTAATTTCATTTAATTCATGCCTATTAAGACATAACTATATTATAATACAATACGAAGTTTGTTTAAAATGATTCACTATCTCTTTTAATAACAATACTAATAGTAATAATAATAATAATAATAATAAGTAACAGTAATAATCAAATAACAAACGTCACCAAGTACTCAAATGAAAACGATATAGACAACAACAACAGAATAATAAAAATAAACGAATAATGAATTAATGCTACAATAACAATTTTTTTTAAAAAAATTTATCATAAAAATGTTATCCATATTTATTCATTTTTCAAAAAAAAACCCACTTTTATCTAAATGAGCATTAACCATTTAGTGTTTATCTGTTTGTAATTTATCAATTAACTCTGTGAGTCAGTTCATTCATTCAAACAAATAAAAAAATTACCACTTTGTAAGATTGTTCTCCTTGAATTCATTAATAAGTGTTTTACAAATTTTAAGTAAGTTATAATTTAATGTTATCTGATCTAACCATATTATTGTTCTTTGAAATGCCCCCTTCGACCCCCCCCACTTTTTAATGATGGACTGTTCAAAATTAGAAACGTCAGTGTTTATATTTGTTCTGATATAGTGAACAGTATACACATTAATCATAAAGTATTAGGTTAAAATGATATTTTCTAATATAATGGCTTAATTCTTAATAACCAACGTGATCTAAAGAAAGAACCAAAAATATTATAATTCATCTATAAGTATAATAATGCACTAGAGAATACTAAACATTTACATGTTTACTATTTAAAATCTTATGTATCATTGAATTGCCATTTCAATATTTAGTAAAGAAAGAAAGAACGAATCGAGTGAAGAAATTTCTTTTCAATTAGACTTTTTATCATGGCTCTACACTAACATATATATGATTTATAATGATGAAATAACACTTGTCGAGTGGAAAAAGATATCATAAAATTAATTCTTGACCGATAGATTTTTTATATTCTCAATAAATTCAAAGGAATCCTTGACACTATGCTAAACAATTTCTTTGTGCGTAACGTATCCACTCGACGAGTATTATTTCATTATTGTAAATCATATATATATAAGTGTAGAACCATGACAAAAAACTAATTAAGAAGAAGTTTCTTCGCTCGATTCATTCCTTCATCATTGAATTAGTAGAAAATAATACAATAATGAAGACAAAAACAGATTGATAGAATGAAAACTATTTTTATTCTTTCTCGATCATTTTGATCAGTTGATAAAGAGGATAAGAGACAAATAAGTAAAAATTAGTCCTTATAGTAAAAACAACAAATATAACAATAATAATAAAAGTATATAATTAAGTAC